GAATTGGGCCAGCGTCGCTAGGACGAGTGTGTGTGTCAAGCGAAGCAGTAGAGCGGCGCGAAGCCACTTGTTTCACGGGACACGTCCGCTGTGCGGTCAGGCGCCGCCTTGTTCGGCCGCGCAGCGAAGGCATCGGCTCGTCGTGCCTGCCGTGCTGCAAGTGTCGCGTAGCACACGCGGCGTTGGCTCCATGATGGGAGTACAGAGTATGGACAAGGCAATGCACGAAGGTGCGTGCAGCGTTTATGAAGCAAGCAGAGTTTGAGGGACTCGAAGCAAGTTTTGGCGCCAAAACAGAAGACGGCCGCAAACGAAACCTACGAACCACCAGATACAAGGCGACCAAAACCACAGGCGTGAGAGACAACGCGTTGGCTCACAAAAGGAACAGTGAGCAAGAGGAAAAGTAAACGCGGGCAACAACAGCACAACACAGCCGGCGTAAGAAGAAGATACGATCAACACGAGTGTGTATGTGGGGCGACGCGCGCGAAGATACAGGGTGACGCGACACCAAATACGTGCTTTCAACAAAGAACAAAGCGAGAGCACAGACACGCGTGTGATGACGAGCACGCTCGTGGACGATGTGAACGTGCGTCCGTGTGTGTTTGCGTGTGGAGAAAAGAAGGGTCGATGCCCGGAGGGGCGGATTGTGGTGCGTGGGAGAGCCCAGCAACACCAAACCGAAATCGCTACCAAGTGTTGTACCGAGATGTCGGTAGTGTAAGTAGTGTAATGTGAAAGTAGACAAGACGAGAGGTGAATGAATCAAACAAACATCAAGTGAACAAACAACAAGTGAGACAGGTGAACAACAAGTGAGACAGGTGAACAACAAGTACACGTGGCAGCCATCTTGCATGCGTGCAAGTTGATGTAAGATTGCATGCATGCAAGTGGTTGGGTATGTTGTGTGAAAGCTGAGTCAGCATTTCACACAACACTTCCTGGATGAGGTCCGCCGTCATCTTGGACAGCGATGGCGGCGGGTCCTCGCGCTCCATGAACCGCATCGCCACATCAAACTCCGCGGGGAGTTCGTTGCGGACGAGGGTGCGCAGGTCGTCCTCCGGGATGGACACGCCGGCAGCAAGGAGCTGCGAGTTGACGTCCGTGATGCGGGACATGAACGTGTCGACGGTGTCCGTGGGCAACCAGGTGGTCGAGGAGAGCTGCTGCCTGAGACGACTGACGTGGTCCTTGCCGCTGCGGATGTAGCGCTCGCGGAGGCGGCGCAGCGCAAGCACACCGGAGCGGCCACGGTTGTCGGTGATGGCCAGCCGCAGCGGGTGTCCCGTCAGGACGCCAAGGAGGAACGCGAAGATGGCTGCGTCAACCTGTGGATCACGGGGATCCAGCAGGCCAGAGGCTCGGGACGCCACCTGCGCTCCTCCGCTCGGAGTGGCGGAAGAAGGCAGAGAGGAAGAGGAGGAAGATGGCTGAGCGCCGTGGTCGTCGCCATCGCCCTCGTCGTCGTCATCGTCGTCGTGGTCCCCCGCGTCGTGGCGGGCCCCAGTGCGGCGAGGGCCGCGTTGAGCGCGGGAGCGAGTGCGGGGACCCGAAGCACCGTGGGTGCTTGGGCTCGGCGATGAAGCAGCTGCTGGAGCCTGCCCGTCTCCTTGGTGGTCAGCACCACCCTCGGCGATGATGCCAGCGTCGATGCCAGCGGCGATGAGCTTGGCCTCGACGGTGATGAAGAAGAGGTTGGCATCCTGCTCAGCGCCAGCGAAGACCTTGATACCGTCTGCGCTAATTGAACTGGGTCTCATAATCTGTTGTAAGTTCATGGTGGTGGTGCTGTTGTTGGAGACTTGTGTGTGTGTGTGTGTGTGCTGTGTGTGCAGAGTGTGCTGTGTTGTGTGGGAGATTGTCTTGGCAAGAGGAAGTTGTGTGTGTTTACTTGAGTTGTGAAGCAAACAAGGATGTAGGATGAATGAACACTCCAACAGAAAGAAACAGAGCAGAAGACAAGAATTGTCGACAACGCAAAGTGGTGACGTGGCAGTGTTTGTTGAGAGTTGTGTGGTTATGTGGTGTGTTATGCAAGAGCATGTAACATCGAGCAACCACACAAGCTAAACACTGCACGTGCAACAGGTTGGAGGGAAATCACGTGAACATTCCAGAACACAAGAGAGGTGAATGCAAAGTTGTGGTGTCGT